AAGACCGCTGTTTACATTCGAATGTTTTTCAGCGACTTAATTCGATTTTCTATAAATGCGTGATCAAGCATTAAAGTAGAAGAGTTACACTTTATTTTAGAATTTCGCTTTACTTCTTTGACAGTTTTTCAGATATAATTTCAAACAAAATTTAGAAAATCATATAGGATCGATATGGCCTTGTTTGCGGTGCGAGTGATTTTCACAAATGTGCTTTCCAAGGATTAAATCAACGCACGTCTCGTTGCGTATCGTTCACGATCTGAACGAGTCTAAGGACGGCGAATTAACGCGGAAATGCCGCGCTCCTCGTGCCAATTAAAAAGCAGTTAGGCGCGCAATCGCGTCGCCGCGCGGTCAAATTAAATCTGCGCTGTGCGTCGCGGACTAATTTGACCGATCAAAGCCGTTTAGCACTTAGGTGGACGGGTCGTCTGTATTGCACTCGTCCGACGCACGATCTGGCGTGCGCCTGTCGGTCGTCACTCGTTTGTGATAAAGACACCGCGATACGCTCGCACGAGAGAGGCGACACATATGCACTGATGAATAGAGAACACGTTGCGCCGGCCATGCAACCGTTCTACTCTGATGCATCGGTAAGCCTATTAACTCGCTAAGTAAACAGCCCGGCTAATCCGATTGCGTCGAGTGCGCTTACTTTCGCACGTTTTACCCATTAGCCGGCCGTCGCACGATATCCGAAGGCGGCGACGATGCTATCGCCTCTCCTGTCACACAGAGTTCGATTATTTTCATTGTGCTGTATTATTCTAATCGCGCACGTGGTCGCAGATGCGATCGTTTCCACCGAGGAGCGTCGCCTCTCGTGAAAACGAAAAAAAAGAAATAGACCGGGATGCGGCTACTCGTGCGCAATAATACGGGTATGTTCCCCTCGATGGCCCTTCACGGGAGAACACGTGAGACTCGATCGAAAACCCATCATTGTCCTTGATGGTGCGCGCACCGGCGTAACTCTGTTAACGCTCTTAATGCGAGAGCGCTTTCGATTCGATCGTCCCGACGATAACCGCTTCATTAAGGACCCGGCGAGTCATTACCTTCGCGATGTTATCATTTAAGCTCTCGGGTCGTTTCGCACACGCGACATACACTGAAATATTCAAATGATCTTAACAGATGATATAGCACGGATGCATGAAATATTCGGAAAATACAGGCGATGTGGATTTGCCTTTCTTCTGTAAGAATTCGCGACACGTGTCCGATTTGGAAACGTTTTCATCGTGCGATAAATCTGACGACGAGAGGCGATTGTCGGCAATTTTCTCTCCATCGGGAGGTAGAACGTATATCCTCGTCGCGCGAAACCACCTAAGTTCACGCGTCTGCGCTTATATGGTCACTCGACAATTTTCTTCGAATCGTACGTGACGTGTATTCCGAAGTCGCACATTTCTACCGAGCGCCGACCCGCTGTGTTCTCTTCATTAATAAAAAGTGAAATAACAAGGGAAAACAGGGTAGTGCTTTGCTCCGCGAACTTCCTACTGGATGTAACAAAATGCCCGAGCTTGGCTGGTTCCCTTCGATCGGCCTTGAGCCGATTACCTTGCGTCGCACTCAGTCCTTTTCGTTTCTGCTTCGATTGCTCGACGGAGGTTTGTGCACGGTCGCGCTCGTCCGAGGTGAAAGTGACTTTTACGGGTAAATCGTAACCCTTTACGGAAGATGCCCTCGCGCGTTTGGCCTCAATCCTAAAATAATAGCTATTACCGCGCTTTATTGCGTCCCGATTGCCCGATTTTAATTCCTCCACTGCGCACGGTGATGGATCGATTCGTTCGCGTATATATTCTCAGCGCGACGAAAAGCGTCATTCTGAGCTACCTCAGAAATTTTAAATGCAATTTGCACGTACCACCGTACGTCGTACAAACACGACGTGCCCGGCTCGACGAGCGACGAGGAAATTTAAATGGAACGAATTCAAAACGCGACCGCCTCAAAAGCGGTTCCCATGTCATATACAGAAGATGTTATTTATGGAGAGGCGCGGTCTTGGGGGACGCATTTAGATGATTTCGCTGATATCCGTTATTTGGCGCAAGTATCGCGCGAAGTTAGGTCAACGTGCTCTCGTATTTTCAGGGTGAAATACGGTCAGTGGCTTAGCCGGGCTATCGTCGAGGTCACGTGAGACCCCAGGAATTCTGAAGAGATAGGCAAATATGTATCTCTCCGGCACGCGTTATGTTAGATGATCGACGGTAGAGTAGTAAGAAACATTTCCCAACTTCTGACAGTTTGCACATATGTCGAGTAACATATGTGCAAGCGTAATCGCTTTTAGCTGTCGCTAAAACGCGCTCTTAGCGTATGATATCATCCCACGAAAAATAGATTTACATCCTTGGAACTTTCTTCCAAAATATCTCACGAGGAATCCGAGATATTCGTTTATCGTGAAATGCAACAACTTTTCTTGTCGAATAGACTAAACTATACTGTATAAATTCAACAGAAACTGCTTTCATAAACTAACGTTATTTGTTAGGCGAATTATTTTCATTTCATTTCATTTTATTCCACTGTTAACGAGAAAAAGTCACTATTAATATATAATTAATACATAATATTCGAGAAATCGAACATTAGTAGCACGAAAAAAATGCAGAAAGAAAAGAATTGAAAACGAAATTAACAAACGTATAAATATAAAAGCAATAAACCGTAACTCAAAGAACCTTTATAATATCTAATATAATAGGTTTAAAAAAAGACACATAATAAACATTTATTGATCTATGATAAATATTTTGCTAACAAAAGTAACCTATTTATTTGTTTAAATTTATTGTAAAGAGTGCCGTGCAAACACACATGAAAAGGTGGAACACATCTAAAAATCCTTTATTAAATGTAACTATAATAATTCAGGACATTCAACAAGCCTCTCAGAATCTTAAATAGAAAAAGAAAGTCTATTATTTTTTGGACTTATACTTCTTTGTACTTGTATATTTTCTTCACTAACAACACGGGATCATTAAATCTCTTTATTGATCTGCTTTATCGCATTTTATATTAGTTTCGGTATACTGGAAAATTATATATATTCTTGGGAAAATAAAATACCTTCTATGAGTCTCGTATAAAAATATTCTGTTGTGCGTCACGACTTATCTTATACTCGTGTGATATGAAAACGATTAGCCCGGTGAGATGTGCATATATTCAACAATGACGCGTTCAGAAATGACATTAAAATTGTTTGCTAAGCGTCTTTTGATTTTCCACGAATATTATCCAGATGGAATTATAACGCAATAGCTTCGTAGAAACTGATGCGTGTCTATAAATTTATGTTAACGTAACTGCAGGGCGCACACGCACATACACACACGTGCATGCGTACTCGAGTTTGTTACCGGGGTTTATTATCACGATTTGGAATTATCGGCTCACAAACTAATTCTATAAAGTCCTAATTACGCTCGATTCTAACAACCAATACGCGCGCGCCTCTGCACTGATGAATATCTCATTGCGTCGCGTATTCAAAATATATATGCGCGTCGCGCGATTATGTCACTCGTAGAATTCTATCTGTACGACCAGTCACGCGAAACACGTGGGAGTGATATCGGAAGTATGAAAGTGTTTGAATTAGCGCGACGTTTTACAGCTTGAATTCTTCGACGAGTTTGAAACGAGCGTTTCTTGTCATCGACACGTTGCCGATAATTACAGCATCATGGATATTTAACGCTCAACGTGAAAGAGTTTGGATAATGCGCAACGACAGGTGACACGACGCTGATCGAAAGTAATCTCGCGAGTCGGACAACGAGACGAAGAGCGTGACGGACGGAAACGTTAATAACGGAGGGGCGAGACACAGAGGACCGGCGGAAAAGGTCTCCTTAACGTGTCTCCGCTCTCGATCCGTCGGCCGTCTCTCTCAGGGGTGGCGATTCGAAGGGTAGATCCGCGGTCGGCATTAGGGGAGAACCGGAGGAGGGTTCCGATATAAAAGATTCTTTGGGAACGGGCTTCAAGATTCGATCACAGGGCTTTGTCGAGACGGGGCGATTCGGCGCAACGGCCGCTAGACACTGGTCGCTTCGGACATTTTCTCAAGGCCGGGTCTTAACCACCCGGGGATTTTACAGCCGCGGGATCCATGCTCCACGGTCCTCTGAGAATTCGCTCGCGTCTCTTCCACGACTGATTACCCCGTCGATATAGAGTCTCGATCGGAAGACAATTGCCGCGGACAGAAATGTCTTTTCCATTTGCCTCTCTTCACGATTGCCAATCTGATGCTCGATTTGAAATCTTCCCGTTCGCCTGATCTCTGTTAATTTCCAGCGATTTTCAAGAACGACCTTGTTAACGCGTAGTTCTCGAATTATCCGCCATGAATCAACGTTCGCGACCGTTGCTTGATTTTATTTTCTTTGAGAGCAATATCTCGGTAATTTTAGCAATCATATTCATCGCGTTTCCTACGCTGAGGCAGAGGGTTGATTCTCGTACGATTCAAGACCGTCATATTGGATCGGGGAACACGAAGAAGACAAAGAAAACGTGTTAATTTTATTGCGTAACTGTTGAAGCGGCGTAAGGTTAAATTAACGATTTCTTCGATTAATCTCATTTAATATTTGCTTGCCTGAAACGGATGAAACAGCCTGATAGATTTTCAACGCGCATTTTCCTTATATTCTCGTCGTGCTTTGTTCCATTTTCGTAATTAAAACACCGCGAAAGTTTCATATTTCAACGTTAATAACCTCTTTTTCGCTTCTCCTGACAATTCCGTTATTAGATTGCGGTCTTGTGCGATTGAATCCTGCAATTTCCATCTTACATCTCACGAGGGTTGACGTACTCAACCGACCCTCCGTTTAAACAGTCATGGGTAGTTGATTCCTCGCCATTCTCGAGGGAGAGACGTTCGTTAATGCCGCTTGAACCATTGCCCAAATTGCAGGAAATAAATTGCGTTTTTTCCTTTCACGATGTTGCAGAAGCGCGAGAGATCGCCGGGTAGAAGGATGGATCGGCTTCGACGGAGCTTCCGGGACAGCTTTCGGCGGCGGAAAGACCCTCACGTGCCTGAGTCTAGCAAACCTCATCAATGGCAGGCTGATGAAAGCGCAGTGCGTTCGGCTACGTGCGCATTTCACGTCAAGGTGAGCGCTAAAGTTTAATGGCTTAGTAGGTATGCAAATTACTGGCCATCCGGTCGGACTGTATGCCGAAATCATTAAGATGATTAGGACCATTCACGCTATTTCGAACTCATTGTCACGGTTGAGGTTATCTCAGCCGCTTCCTTCACTAAGAATCACTGATCAGTTTTAAAATTAACGTTATTATCGCAAGAAGAAACGGTTGTTTTTCCCGGATAAACAGTCTGTGGTCTCTTTTAGAGTCAATTTTAATGCTAAAGGTTGATCCTCTTAAAAGAAGGTTTGCGCGCGCGAAGGCTGTTGACCTGTTTAATATTCGAATGAATAAATAATGTAATCAATAACTTTGTAGTACCTGGGATGTGTGGAAGTGTTCGAATCGAGAGGTATGCAGGTCTGTGAGGAAGCTCTCAAAGTTCTTCGAGTAAGTAATTAATGGAAATCATTTATTTTTTAATTAATACTTCCTTCCTCCTTTCTCACTCTTGTCTTTTNCTTCCCCCCCCCCCCTTTTTTCCGTAGCTTTGTATTAGTTAAATAAAAGAGACGTTATATTTTAATGTGAACAATTAAATTTTCAAGCGATTGCATTAATTTTTCATGATTGTATTTCACTTGCACAGTCAATTGAATTTTTAGTAACTGCTTTATCAAAGAATACTAGCGCATATAATTCTTAAAAAGCATCCAACATAATCTTTTCACAAAGTTCCTTCCATTTAAAATATTCCGTGTGTTCGGTAGAAAGTTTGGGCGGCCTTGCGAGAGTCGAGCGCCTCACATTCTCCAAATCTTTTGCCTTGGCTATATTTAGTACGGCTAATATGTAAAGAGATGACATTGACATCGAGCGGCCTGAAAATAAATGAGTGTTCTAAAGGTCAGAGGGCAATCCGGGCAATTGAGTGATTCTCGGCTGAATTTTCAGAATTCAAGACGAAGGCCGGTACGGGCGGTGCTTCACGTGTCCGGCGACGGCCTCCGCGTTGTCGAGGACGAGACGAAGGGGTTAATTGTCGATCAAACGATCGAGAAAGTCTCGTTCTGCGCGCCGGACAGAAATCACGAGAAGGGATTCAGTTACATCTGTAGGGATGGCACGACGAGACGGTGGATGTGCCATGGATTTTTAGCGTTGAAAGAATCGGTAAGTCAGATGCCTCCTCGCCTACCCCTCGAAACAGGGAGTTATTGATCGGTGCACATGTGTATATAAGGGTGCTCCGCTCCGCCGGTAAGGGATGAGTTTGTATTCGCGTACGAACGCTAATGCACTGGCATCGAGAGTGCAACGTAACATCGGACGGTACGACAAGTGAATTTATTCAAGAGCTAAATTGCAGATGCATATTTCAAATTTGATGCACTTAGTATAATTTGTATGGAAACCGGACGAAATTCTACTGCAGCTGTTATATATGCTGCCACCAGTTCTCTTCATACATATTTTTTATTCCAACATACTCCATATTTCGTCTATAATATGACACGTTTTCGTTTCAACTAGAAATAAAATATGAACGACACGTGTCACGTGGAACTCCCGCGGGAAGGCTAAAAATATTAGTGCATTTCCTAATGGATTAATTTTTTATCGGCAAGGGGGAAAGGTTGAGTCACGCCGTGGGTTGCGCCTTCGCCGCGTGTCTGGAGAGGAAGCAACGGCGGGACAAGGAGTGCGGAGTTACGATGACTTTCGACTCGAAGACTTCTACCTTCACGAGAAGCGGCAGCTTTAGGCAACCGAGTCTCACCGAACGGTTACAGGAATCGCGCGATCGTGCAGTTGGTGAGGCGTTGTGCTATTTTCCACCGAAATATTAATTTTGTATCTTGGTCATTCCCTTCGATAAAAATCCCCTGTTTCAGACGTGCCTCCGCTCAAGCAGGTGTACAATCCTTTCGCGATCGAGAGGCCGCATGCAACTCCGTCGATGTTGGAACGACAGGGTTCCTTTAGGTGTTTCACGCAACTGAACCAGGCATCCCCTTTCAAGAGGCAGCTCAGTCTACGAGTCAATGATCTTCCTAGTAATCTCGAACGCACACGTAGTCACAGTCTGGAGCCGACGGACTTGTCGCGAATGCCTTCAGCTCTCTCGCACATTGTACCTCTGAAGCCACCGGGTGAGTTTTCACGACACTTTTTGCGAGACATTTCTTTTCTCCCCGATATTCTTATCGGACGATTGTTGTCGCGCGTAAAGTGTTATACGAGCAAGTGCGTTAGCTTCAATGTGAAACGCACAAATATGTGATTATGTTACTCATTTTCAAACTGATCTGAGATCAATCTGAATAACGATGTGTTTCTCTCTCTGGTTTCACCATAGAGTTCGAAGGATATGACGAAGGTCATTACTCCTTATTCCGTTAATCGTTCCCATTCTTGCTTGCTCTGTTCGGTGTTCCCTTAAACGTGCTCGTTTTCCCACGGTTATTCCGTATGTGGTTGCGTTTGATAGACATCAACTGGTTCCACGACACATTGCGAGCGTGTAGCTAGAATTTGCCTACATTCAACAGATTCCAGTCCCTCTCTACGATGTGTTTTTGCTCGTGCTTGAAACAGACATTTAGCTCCACTGTCTACGTGCCCTCCTTCTCTCACTCTATACTTATCCCGACACAATATCGATGCGTTTAGCATGCCTTTCGTAGATCCCAGAGCACCTCTCGTTGCAACATTGTTGAGTATGTCGAGTGTATCGTTAAGGACGACTCCTTCTCCCACAGTGAGCCCGATACCGGAAATATCTCCCGGCGGCCAGGACAGCGTATCCGCGATGTGTCAGCAGCTTTCTCGGGGGCTTTCTCTGCTGTCGAGCAGCGACGACTTCGGACCAATGCCATCTCACGCTGCCGCCGCGAGTACTATCGCCAAGCAGCTCTTCACCAGCACCGCCAGCTCTCCTCCAGGTACGAGACTTTCCGGCGAAATCGCGAAAATTGCCTTAGCTTCGTTATCCGTTTCACAGCTGCGAGGAATCGTACCGAGTTGAGATTCTAACGAAGCAATTTATGCGTTCTCGCAGTAACGAGTAGCAGCTCGTTGGACGACATGAAGCTGCAGAACGGTCCCACCATGAAAAACAACAACAACAACGACAAGAACGACGATCTCAGTAACCTGAATCACGTCGGACCCAGTTGGCAGGACTCGGCGTCCCCCGTTCTCGCGTCGAACCACAGGCTCACGCCTATCCTTAAGGCGAGCAACCTCAGTCCCATTCTTCCAAGGAACGCGCCCACCGCAGTCGTTATGAGCACACCGGCACCTGCCTCCACTGTAGGTGCCTTCGGCACACCACCGTCGGCGGCGAGTCCGGCTTTCAGTACGGCTTCTACGTCCTCTTTAGGAAACACGTCCACGCCGGCCGTGAACAGATCGCCGATCCCGATCAATTCGGTGATGACACCGAAAACGAATTCGCCCAGTGCCAGCGTAGCGTCCGTCTCGCCGGCGTTGTCCGTTCCGACTGACGTCGCTCAAGTCTCATTGGCAACCGGTGTTCCGACAGCTATGGTGAGTCGAATCCGCTCGTGCGAAATCCTGTCACTCGTATATAATCCCGTGAAAAATACTTAAACTTTGAAACGTTGTAAAATTCGCACCTCTTTTCGCGTCATATCTTTTAATTGTTTATTTATCAGCCTTCCGCAGGCGATATTTCAATTGATTTAGAAAGATAAATTAAGAGGCAATCAAAATTTTTCAAATCTCGATTTGAACTATTCAAACCGTCTTTATACAGTCTCCCACAGAGGAAAGAAAGATTCCGTTGAAATACGTTACGGCTGTAACCTTCGAGGACAAACATCGCAGTTTCCATTTCTAACGAGGAATATTCAATTCGCACGTTTCTGTTATCCCGATCAGTTTTCACCTGCTCCTTTCCGAGCGACGCGACTTAAGGGACGCCAGACGCGAACGATTTCTCACGAGTTTCTCCGTCCAACAGGTACAACCGCTTTCCACGGCAGCTGGTTTGCCGAAACCAGAACAATGGCTAGGCAGTATAACCGGCTCCGTGCCGTCGCCGGTGCCGCAGGTACCCGTTAGTCCTCGACGAGCACCTCCTCTCCACGCGAGAGCGCACTCGCTTGGATCGGCCGCAATGAGCCAAGCTTCCAGAGGAGGACCCTCCGATCCTTTCGACGTCGAATGGGCGGAGATCGCAGCGAGGAATCTGCGGCAATCTAGTACGACGAATCCATTCATTATGCCGAACGCGACTCAGGCGTTCCAAGTGCAGTTGTAGCGTCAGGAGTTCATCAACAACGTCGCCAAGTATTTCCGTTCGAGCACATAGTGATGGCTGCACGTCCGCTCGCGCTTCGACCTCGCACACGATCGAAAGTACTACACGTGAGCCGCGTGTCCTCGACCCGATCGCGAGCACCGTCGCTTCGATCGCGCACGACGACGCCGCGGTCGCGCTTCCGGTTGAGCAGCCTGATCTCGACCACGAGTCTTCGGCGGAACAAGAAATCAAGCCGAAAGAGCGTGGATGAATGAATCCACTCGTCGTCGAGTCGGCGTTCTAGTAGCAACGACGGTAGCAGTGAACCACAGCACAAAATAAAAGTATCCGTGAGAATACTTTATATAGATAGATACGTATACGCGCACACAGCCTTAAAAGACCTCAATAAGAACAAAATAGAAAAAAAAAAAGAAAAACAAGGGAGGGGGAACGAAAAGAAACGCGTAAACGCGCGTAGGCGTACGTGGCGGGGAGGGACACAAAGTTTCACGCACCAATAATAATACCAGGCTACTCCACGTCAGCCGAGGAACAAGAAGCAATAGAATATCGCGGAGTACGCGCATCGATAATTATACTTAAATGTCTGTGACACGATGCTGTAATTGGATATCCCAGTAATCTTGAGTAGAGTTAGGCTCGAGCCGAGCGGTTATCGTCGTTTTGCATGAGAAACGAAATTGTACGCACCCCAAGATAACGCACTGCACCCCTCTTTTTTCAAAAAAAAAGAAAATAAAAATCCCGAAAAAAAGAGAAAGGAAGAGTAAAATGATAGACGAGTGAATAAAGTACGTAGCGTAGTTGCTTCGTGGTCGTACACACTACGACGTGGGTCACGAAGTGCGGACGAAGTCGTACCTTCCCTTCACGGAAGGGAAGCTTGCTTTTTCCGGCGGGCTCGTCCGGCTCAGGCACATACACAGGTGGACGCTCGGTTTCGCCGAAACCGTGACGCGATTCAACGTAAAGGGGTTAACATCCGCGAGAGACTGTGATATATATTGACGTGAAGTGGCCAGTACTTAAACGCGCGAACTTTAGCGTGGTCGAGACGGATTCGCAGAGTATCGGGAGTATCGTGAGACCTGCTCAAGATTGTCGCGCCGCGTGATAACGGAGAACGGAGGCGATCGTGAGCTCGGGGTACCGCAGACTCTATAGTCCCGTAGCTGGCAGATAGAAAAAGAGAAGAAGAGAGAGAAAGAGAGATAAATACCCATAGATTATTTAAGTAAAGATTAGCTGTTGAAGATTAGCGGGGGCGGAGTATGCCCCTCACACTATCGTTGTCTATTATATACACATCGAGCTGCATTTATCGCAAGTGGACCGCGGGTGGAAGGTACGGCGACAATGACGCGTAACCGTGGAAATTCTCACACGACGAGGACGACAACGGCGCTCGCGGAGTGATTCCCGTGACGACGGTGCTTCCGCTCTTACAATCCGTAGCCGCGAAAGTTGCGTTCGCCGATCCACGAGATTACGCGCGAGTCCGTATCATCTGGCGATGCGATCGCGCCGGTTTATGAGGTCGACGATGTACGTCGTAGCGAGACGAGCAGGAAGGGCCTTCTCAGTTCCACGTAGTAATTGATAGTGTCCGGCGAGATATCAGTATTGCAGCCTTGCAGCTTTCTGTCTTTCAAGCCAGCGGCCGCACTTTCGGTTTTTCGAAACGGATCGAGGGTAAACGTCGAGGAAGGCCAAGAGCGATATTACGGGGGGCGGGGAGGGAGGAGGGAGGAGGGAGATGAACAAGGAGTGTGTGTATGCATTGTACATAGAATAGTTATTTAAAGAGTAACGAGACAGTAAAGAGGATTATGATGAAATACGTGAGCGAGGGAGAGAACGTTTGGAAGTCGTATATTAAGCCGGCGACTCAGCGATGACGCGAAAGGGTTCCCCTTCCCCTCTGCTTCATTTCTGATTAATTCCATGAAACTGTCGTACTCACGCTGTTATTCTGATTTCTCCGATTTCGATTACGTCTACACGCGTGACACGTGTACGCGCGTAGCATGCGTTTATTATGCGCGTTTATTATGCGCGCGGATATTTACGTTACGCTCTATACCGAGATTCACGCGTCGTTAATCGAGTCCTGCGACTTCGTCGATGCTCTTGAATTCCTACACATCGTTCCTACACATCGTTCGTTTCGTCACGTTGAACGAGAAACGTATGTGTACCGGTATTCTTCCACGCGACGAATCGCTCGTGTTATCGTTTCAATTGCAACCTGGACTTAATCGCGGATAATCAGATGAGAGCGATTGTTACGGGAGAAACGCCGAGGCGTTGTTGCTGGTCGCGAAAATGGACTTGGTTTTTCCAGCCACCTTCCGTCCGTCCCGAAAATCAAAAGGTAGAGAGAGAGAGAGAGAGAGAGAGAGTTTCTAAGCGAGGGGGTTGAGTAACACCGCAAAGCAACACATGGAGCGATCACTAGGTACTTATCGTGGTACTTATGAAAACGGTTAATCAATGTACTTAAAAAAAAAAAGAAAAAACTATTAACACACGTAGGTCGTTGTTAGCGAAATCGTCGCTGATCGACGCACGTCGTCGATGTCTTCTACTCTATCCGTCTCATTTAATTTTGTTCTCATTTTTATCCTTTCGGACTGACATTTCTTTCGTTCTCCCAGAAAAACGCGGGAAAGGAGAATGTGTACATAACGCAACGTAGCGACTCGTTATAACATTATTATTACGTTTAGGTACTTATTGTTTTCTTTTTTTCATTTTACACTTTACTCTCGGTCGATGTACGCTAACTCATACATTGTTCATTTGGCTAGGATCGAGGAGAAGCGATAGCAGCGTCTCGGCCGATCCCTGCTTGTAGGTTTACGATGTGCGTAATTTATTCGGATATCCGGTGTCTTTTGTAATTTTCGATCGATGCGATTTTTAGTTGAATTAGCTGTTCGCCTTTCTCCCTTTCCGAAAAAGCACAGAGATCGGCCGAGACGCGTTCCGGTGTCTCATATCGACTGAAACAGGCAAGTGCATTTATGGAGGTAACGAATAACAGTGGTATACACACACACATACACACACACACACACACAACACGCTCTCAATACACGACAGGTGTATGTTTACATATATATACACATCCAGAGATAGAGAGGAAGAAAAGAGATGCCGGGACAAGAATTATAAGCGAATAGGTGCACCGCGTGCCAAATTCAAAAGTGCAACCGCGTTGCCTGCCAATTGGACGGTAGTACATCGCGCACGCTTCCGTGGTTGTGTTGTACATAGTGTCGCCGGTCGATTCCTGGATCAACGTACGATTTAATGCGTGTATATTTCGTAAAGGTATCCTTGTTCATTTTACAATGTATCTGCCACTGTAAAGATACGGTTTATTATATAATATCTGTTGTGATTACGAACACGTTTCTTATTTCTTTAACCGAACTTAATCTGTAATTTCCCAACCGATGTCCTTCCCTCCTTTCAATAATAGGGTTATTATACCACGAAACAACTATGAAGAGGATCTTTCCTGAAGTTCTCAAGATATGTTAATTTTTATCGCTATGTATGCGATATATGAGAGTGATTTTCCTCGCCAAATTCACGGTAATGTAAAGACACGAGCTGCGGCACAATTTTACATATTCATTTACATTTGTCTAAGCTAAATTAATAGTATGCGAAATAAATGAAATATAAGAGTGTAACGTCATTAAAGTCAACATGAGCCTCGAAGACGCTCTCGCAATATATCCGCCTAGTGTTCCATCGCGTTGCTCCCCAAGATCGACATGCATCGATTATGCATGTCCGAAATACTCGATTGACATGTCGTCACGGCCGTATCAATCTCCTGTTCAATTTCAACTTACGTATACTTGCGACAAGTACGTTACTCAAAGATAGCTCTTATATATGTACATATCGCATAAAGCAGTTTGATTGACAGCTGCGTTAAATTTTCAATGATTTCGCATTGTATGCGATTCGATAGTACTCGAAAATAAATCGAAAGACTACGTGAAATTTTAAAGTGTTTAAAAAATTCATGAGAATATCGATATCAATTTTGCATAGAGCCACTTATGCACCCTGCTATTTCCCTGTCGTACCACGTTGCCCTCCGCCGGAAAAACCATCGAGGAAAGTAAATTGTGGTCTCAGATGGTTCGATTGCGCCGGAAGACCAGTTTTTAAACATCACGATAATTACACGCAACATCATAACGTCGATCAATAATAACGGGATCAAAATAAAAAGAAGGTTATCCCGACAAGGCCACAACGTGGATTATTTCGGAACCCCGTGTACGTGGACAAAAATGTGAATAGCGTCAATTTTTCTCAAACAAAAGATAATGAGTCGAGATTAAACATGTGACCGTTACGCGTGTAAAAATTCAGGTAAAATGTAACTTGTATAAATTCCCCAGGTTTGTTCAAAGCGCCCCCGCGATATCCTCCTGAATTTCGTCCGTACTAGTTTATCTTCCGGCGAAAAGAAGAATGTCCTGCCATATTGACCGTAAAGAGCCGAGGAAAGGGAGCTCTTTGCCTCCACCGTGTTATCACCGCAGGCCGGCTCCTTTTTATTGTCCAAGCGACGGCTGTTTGCCGCCCGAACCGAGGCTACCTTTAAATTGCCGTTGCCCACCTTCGTGCCCACCATTGGTACTTTAACCATCAGCATTCAAGTAGAAAAAAGTTAATAAGTAAACAGATAGGAAAACGTTCAATTTACACGCGCGCGAAATTAATTGCAAAATTAATTGTAAATCGTGAAAAATCGAATATTCCAATAATAACAGGCGTAAAGTTTTGTCACGTAATTACTGATATGAAAAAGCATACATTATACACGAGAGGATGATGATATTTCGTTGATAATATCAGCATGCTTGTTTATAGACGTGCAGACCACGACCAAAATTTATTCCACCGCCTACTATATGCATCGCTGGACCTTGCCCGCTACCATCATCTCCGAAACCATATTGCCGGCCGTCAACAGCAAAAATACCGCCACCATCTTCCTGCGTTCGATTTTGTATTCGTTACGCGAACGAAGGGCCGACTTACTATCCTTGCTACTCTTCCAATTTACCGGAATGTCCTGGCAGCCTCTGCGCCGGATGAAATAACAACACGCTTGATCAAATAGATGACAAAATAGAGCCGGGGTTCAATCTGACGATCATTCGCGATAAAACAGACTCGCCTCGCGGATTCACGTACGCATTTATGCGGCGTGCACAGCGTACTTTACGCCGGTGATTCGCCGAACTGAATTATGCACGAGGAGACAACAGGCCGGATTATTATGCGCTTGCAAAAGAGAACGGATCACAATCGACGGGGCCAATCGACCGATCAGAAATATCGCCGAAAACGTCAATGAAAATATCGACCGCAAACGACGAGGAACGTTCGCTTCCGATTAAAAACCAAGCATAAATCCAGTATAAATCTAGATGGAAAGTGTACAATTGAGATGTATTACAGGCAGAACCGCCGTGCGCGCGCGCGCGCGCGCACACACGTAAGCGCACTCGCACAAGCTAAACAGCCCCAATCGGAAATCCTCTCTCTTCGGCCGCGTCGGTATCGCGGTGACGTCGTGTCGGGCCATACACGACTATGTACAGGGTGTACGACGAAACGTCGCTCACGGACAATTTGTTTGGCTGGCGTGCGCGCGACCGTTAAGCCGATTAACGCAATCACGCGAGCGAGAGCAGATCGGGATCGATGGCGAACATCGTTCGTTTCGTATAATACCCGCATTATCTGTCATTAAGCGGGAGTCGACCGGCGGATTTTACACCGGATCCCGTCGGCTCCGCGTCGACCGTTTTATACGTTTCCTGGCGACGCGGCCGCTACATATTTTACACCTATCGGTGCCTTCTATTTTCTCTTTTTCCTTTCTCTCTCTCTCTCCCCCTTTTTCCACCCCTCCTTTTTTTCTAACACCGCCGCGCGCCACCCACCCAAGTTCGGCCGAAAAAAAAGCGCCGCTGTCAATGCCGAATCTGCGGCGGCGTGGACCATGACAGCGCATTACAGACTGAATGGAGTGCTTTTATGCGGTTCGGATTTCGCAGGCACGCGCATTTACCGCCGCGCGACCGACTATAAAATGGAAAATAAATGGCCGGAGGAACCTTGGCAGTTGTTATGTCGCTTCGACGAGAGATCCTTTGTTTACCCGGCCTGCTCCTCCCCCCTCTTTATTGGCAATCGTCAGTCGTGTCGCGCATATAGCGTAATGATTTTTACTAATGATGATCTTCATCCCCCCTCATCGTTGCGTTTTGTTCTCTCTCGAACTCGACGGACACGAGGCACACAGGTTGATGAGATTAGGAAGTACACTGTACGCGCGCGAAAACCAGAAATTCGGACACACAGCCGGGAGTTCCTCTCGTTTTCGGAATTTTTTTCGCGAGTACCCAGGCTCTCAGCGTGCTAAACTCAATTTTTCTGTCGTGCGTAGCGCGGCGTGGAATGGATGGAGGCGGAAAAGGCACGTAGACGTACGTCGCTGCAGCGACGGGGTAAACGATGTTGCGTTGTCAACGAAAGGTAGGTAACCATCAGGCGGAAAACCCGGCGGAATCGCATTAACAATAAGTGCATTAAAGTGAGAGTCCTTCGAGCGAGGTTAGCGAGAGCGGAGGTGAACGGGGGAGAAAGAGAGGAATATAGTGCTCGCGCGAGAAAGAGAGAGAAAGAGAGAGAGAGAATGAAGGGAAGCAGAAAGGATGGGAACGACTACACCGAGAAAGTGCGGGACCCAATTATTCAGCCAAATGGGAAGGATACGTTATTTTCCGGACGAGCCGTTCCCCTCCTGCGCGCCCTTCCTGTGTCGCGCTCGTATCCTTTTCCGCCGAAAAAAGGCCCTTTGAAGTGCGTTAGTTTCCGTGGGTTCGCTAATTGCGTAAAATGTCAAAGCGTTTAGGCGGGAAAGCGCAGAAACCAAAGTCATCAAGTGTAATTAGATCGTCGGTTTACTCTTGTCCCGCTACAAACTACTTCTTTTCACGGCCAACAATATAAATTCGGAAAAAGAACCATAAAAACGAGCTCGCTCTTTCACCTTCTTCTTTCTGTACATTTTGTATCTCGTCAATAAAAAGAGGGGGGAAAAAAAAAAGAAAACATTGCGCGACCAACTTTCCTTCAAAAAACAAACTTCGAAGCATAAGGGATTAAATTGCAGAAGATTACAGGACCTCGGGGCTAAGTTTGTACGTGAAGTAACGCCTCTAACGGTATGAATTCCTAAGGAAACCAGTAGTGCACGGGAGCCGAGCGTTCAAGCAGATGGCTTCCTTGCGAAACGGGCGAATCTCAAAGGATTAAGTAATTAAAGCTGTAATTAAATTCGTTATCCCCCTAATCTCCTCGGTAAAATTTGTAATTAAACTTGGCGTCTAATTCTGTGTACAGTTTTAAATGTCGAAACCCAAAGTGGATATCGGTGCGTTGTGATCGATACGCGGCGGCACACGGCAGAGCGATATATTTATAGTCGGCCGCTTCACTTATTCAATTCTTATTATTTTTCAAACTACCGTAAGCCGCTTACAGTCCTCGGTGTCCCTTTCTATTTTCTGTCCCATGATTAATTTCAGCGAACAAAAAAAGATATCCGAGCTTCACCCGGAGGCTCGCTCGTCCCCAACAATTCCGCTTAACGATATCGATCGTGAAGCGCGTTATGCTCGAAAAACACAATTATGCTTTGTTCAGGAAAAGTCTCGAGGCGCCGAGACAATTTACCCGCCTGCGGAAACCCACCCTCGACGCTCCCAAGACGATGTTACATCTTTACGCTAAGCGAAGAAAACGGTGAACGCGAAGCGAAGGAAGCGGAGAAGACGCGCTACCTGTCGATCTTCCGGACGGACGTTCGACAACGAGTTATACTTTCCGCGACGATGCGTCCGATCCACGTGGGAGTCGCGGAATGTCCCGGAAATCGACAGAGAAGTCGCGGGACTCGCTCGCTTCCATCCACTTTCGTCGCTTTAGCCGCGTTTATCGATCGCTCCTCCGCGTGCGACCGCTGTAAGATTTCCATTGAGAAGCCGGAGGAGAGGTGTCACTTCAGACGCCGAGACCGCCGACGTTTTACGTATAAAAATTTGCTGAGCGAGAAAATTAAATCGACGGATTTCGCGAGGCTCGCGTGGGTGCCTCGCTGGCCGTCAAGCGACTCGACACGTCCGTCGTCGCGAATGTAAATTATGACTGTCGGATGTTCATAAATATCACGTCGTGATGATCATTAATATTTTAGAGATTCACGAGCTCTCCTCGTCAAAGAGGAAACACGCATATAAGAATTGAGAAGCGATAAATTTAAGACTCAATATCGGTGCACAAATATCATTTTTACCCATTTGTG